AGGGGAGGAGCAGAGCCGCCGCGGTGGGAGGCTCTGCTCCTCCCCTGACTCTTCGGCTCTGTTTAAGAGCTGAGTGCTACGGGCTTCGGGCAGCCCCCATGCCTCTGGACCCTGCGCCGCCAGAGCCCGGGAGGGGAAGTGCCTGGCCGGCATTTTCCCGGACATGTCCGGCTTTTCGGCAATCAAACCCTCGTCCGGGGGGAATTGCCAAAAAGCCAAACATGTCCGGGAAAATGCCGGCCAGGCACTTCCCCTCCCGCGGCTGCTCTGCTCCTCCCCTGACTCTTCGGCTCTGTTTAAGAGCTGAGTGCTACGGGCTTCGGGCAGCCCCCATGCCTCTGGACCCTGCGCCGCCAGAGCCCGGGAGGGGAAGTGCCCGGCTGGGGGCGCAGGGTCCAGAGGCATAGGGGCTGCCTGAAGCCCAAGTGCTACCGGCTTCACGGTTTGCCGGGCAGCCTCCAGACCCTGCGCCCCTGGCTGGGCGCTTCCCCTCCCGGGCTCCAGCTGCGCTGGGCAAGCGCCGGCCGGGGGCGCAGGGTCTGGGGGCTGCCCGGCAAACCGTGAAGCCGGTAGCACTCGGGCAGCCCTTTTCGTGTGGCTGGGAGTGGGAGGGAGGAGGGCGGAGTTAGGGGCGGGGCTGGGGGTGGGAAATGGGTGGGGCCAGGGCCCCGTGAAGGGTCCTCTTTTTTTATTTGTTAAATATGGTAACCCTAGCTAATGCCTTATGCTAAACAACCTGTTCCTCCTCGTATTTAGCTGTGACACTCTGAATACCTTTCCCAAACCAGGAGAGCTCTGTGTAAGGCTCAAAAGCCTGTCTCTCTCAGCAACAGAAGTTGGTTCAATAAATATATTACCTCACCCACCTTGTCCCACCAAAATCCTGGGACCGATACAGCAACAACACCACTGCATATCATAATATTAAAACAGCATCACTAATACATATATGTCCAAATGTAAACATATATGTCCAAATGTAAGCACCTCACAGTGACAGACCCCTGGAGTGGCGCCTGCCTGGTGCGGTTTAAGTGGAGCTGCGCGCTCCCCCCACCCTCAGTTCCTTCTTGCTGCCAGTGAAGGTGCATCGGAAGTGCTCTGCTCCAGCTTTGCTGTAGCTCGTCTCCAGGACTGTTAGTTCGTTTAGTACCTGTAGTTAGTTAGTTTAGTTAGTCAGTGAGCCTGGACCGGGGCATGCCCCAAGCCCCAGGATTTAAGTCATGCAGTTCTTGTTGGCGTTCTATGCCAAGAAGTGACCCCAACACAAACTGTCTGCGCTGCTTGGGAGAAACCCATATCAGCGAGAGGTGCAAGATTTGCAAATTGTTTAAGCCTCGGACCAAAAGAGAGAGGGACATTAGGCTCCAAGCCATTCTAATGGAGTCAGCGCTGACCCCGATCCCCACCGGGCCCTAGGCCTCCTACTCACATAGAGCGAAGTAGCCCGGCCCTTTCGGAACAGGCCTCTCCGGATGCCGTCCATGCCCAAAGCCCTCCAAGCGGCCCGGGACGTCTTGTCCATGCCGGTGCCCAGAGCACCGCCGAGGTCGGCCCCATGCTTCAGAGGCAAGCTGCCGCTGGGATCTCTGCAGTCGCCCCCAGCTCAGTACCGGTCTTGATCGAGGGAGCGTTCCCGATGCCGATCACCGCCCAGCGACCACTTGGGGCAGAGTCCACGTAGATCGTCCTAGACACTGAACAGACTTTCAGGCTGGGTTCCGTCCATCCGGGACTTGCGGCACCGGTCCTCCTCAGAGAGTGGATATCGACGGGACCGTGGTGGATGTCGTCATCGGTCCTCGTCCCGGAGAGGGTACCGCAGTCGGTCATGGCACGGTCGTCTACGCCGTTCCCACTCGGGCTCCTGCTCCAAGTCTCCGCCAAGCCACCACAGCCCCGGACGTCGATCACCGGCGCCTCGCCGTCGCAGGTCCGCCCATTGAGGCCGTTCGTGGAGTAGCTATTACCGTCGGTACCGGTCCTCCATGTCAAGTTCGCGGTCCCGTGACCGTCGCAAATCCCGGCACTGCCGCTCCTCCCGGTCGAGAGACAGCAGCGGATCCTACACCAGCCTTGTCTCCATTCGTAGCCGTCCTTCGACGGGCCAGACCGGCCAACCTGGGCAGCCGGCCCCGGCAGTGCCATAGCAGGTGCAGTGGCACCGAGCATCGTGGCCAGCCCAGTGGTACCAGCGGGCACCGTGGCCTCCGGCGCAGCCCCCAGTGGGAGCTCGCTTGGTGGCTGGAGCTTCGGAAGCACCATCGGCCTCCCTCTCCAGACTCCCAACAAAGGAGTTGGTGGGACGCTCGTCCTCGGTACCGTGCCCGGAGTCCCACCAGGTGGTGGATCCTCCAGTGCCAGCTGACACTCAAAGCACTGCACCGGCCACTTTGCCCTGCCCGGAGGAGGCGATTGCGGCCCCGCCTCCCTCCATCCCGCAGGAGGACTTCAGGGCCCACCAAGAACTCTTAAAGAGGGTGGCAGCAAGCCTCCACCTCCAGGCAGAGGAGATGGAGGAGCCCTCGGACTCCCTGTTCAACGTGTTGTCCCCATCAGCACCGGGTAGGGTGGCCTTGCCGCTCCATGAAGGGATGGTTAAAATTTCAAATGCCCAGTGCCAAACACCAGCCTTGTTGGCCCCTATATCAAAAAAGGCACAACGCAAGTACTTTGTACCCACTGAAGGGCATGAATATCTATATACCCACCCGGCGCCCAACTCCCTGGTGGTCGAGTCGGTGAACCACAGGGAACGACAGGGTCAGCCAGCACTGAACCCAAAGAACAAAAGGAGGCTGGCCTCTTTCAGAAGAAAAATGTATTCGTCGTCGAGCTTCCAGTTACGAGTGGCAAACCATCAGGCCCTCTTGGGTCGGTACGAATTTAATCTGTGGGGCTCCCTGCCTAAATTGGAGGTCTCCCTCCAAGAGCACGATAAGAGGGAGTTCAGGGCGCTGGTGGAGGAAGGGGGCAACAGCAGCTCGGGCTTCCCTGCAGGTTGCCTCTGATGCTGCGGACATGGCCACACGTTCAATGGCTTCTGCGGTGTCCATGAGATGGGTATCATGACTCCTGCTCTCCGGGCTCTCCAGCGAGGCGCAATCTTCCATGTAGGATCTCCCGTTTGATGGGAAAGCTTTGTTCGCAGAGGAAACAGATACAAGGCTGTATGGCATGAAGGACTCCCGCACGACCCTCCAGACCCTGAGTCTCTATATCCCGGCTCCGGTAAAACCTAAGTTCAAGCCGCAGCAGATTCCGACCCCGGCCGCCCTCCCGAAGTACAAGGCCGCCCATAAGAAGCAATGGGACTATAAGAGATGCCCTTACAGGCAGTCTTGGCCTGCCCCTCAGCCTGGACCCTCCGAGGGCAAGCAGGTGGAGAAAAGGCGATTTTGACGGGATGCTCAGGGGCAATCTGCCAGTCCTCATCAGGGATCCAACCCCAATAAAGCTTCCCTTCTCCAACCGGTTGTGTGCTTTCCTTCTGGAATGGTCTCGGCTCACTTCAGACCGATGGGTCCTCAACACCATCTCCCGGGGTTACACCCTCCAGTTTACCTCCTCCCTGCCCAACCACCCCCCGCCCCCGTCCCTCCTGGGGGACCCCTCGCAGGAAGCTTTGCTCGAGCAGGAAGTGGGGCGGCTCCTAGAACTAGGAGCGATAGAGGCGGTGCCTGAGGAGTTCATGGGCAAGGGATACTACTCCCGCTATTTCCTTATTCTGAAGGCCAAAGGGGGTCTCAGGCCCATACTGGACCTACGGGGTCTGAACCAGCACATGGTGAAGCTCAAGTTCTGCATGGTCTCCCTGGCCTCCATCATCCCTCCCTGGATCCCGGGGACTGGTACACTGCCCTCGATCTACAGGATGCATACTTCCACATCCACATATTCGAGGGGCACAGGCACTTCCTCCGTTTTGTGGTGGGACAGAATCACTACCAATTTACGGTCCTCCCCGTTTGGGCTGTCCACTGCCCCCAGAATGTTTACAAAATGCATGTCGGTGGTAGTGGCCTACCTCACATGACGGGAGGTACAGGTATTTCCCTATCTGGACGATTGGCTTGTCAAGGGCACCTCCTGGTCGCAGGTGAGGGATCACATGGCACTCCTTCTGTCCACGGGCACCACCGTGTGCCTACTGGTAAACAACACCAAGTCCACCTTAGTCCCGGTCCAATGCATAGAATTTATCGGGGCGCTCCTGGATGCAGTGTCGGCCAGGGCCTCCCTCCCGCCAGACGGGTTCAAGACCCTGAAATGTCTCATCGGCTCGGTTCCCAGTGACAACAGCCAGGGTTTGCCTGCAGCTCTTGGGTCATATGTCGGTGTGCATGTACATGGTCCATCATGCCAGACTCAGGATGAGGCCCCTCCAGCTCTGGTTGGCTCGAATTTCTCCCAGGCCATAGACAGGATGGACAAGGTCCTCACCATGCCGGACGCTCTGATTACCTCCCTGCGATGGTGGTCCACCCCGAACAACATGCTCCAAGGGGTCCCGTTCAGGGACAGGTTCCCGTTGCTGGAGCTGGTGTCCGATGCGTCAGACCTGGGTTGGGGGGCCCATGTGAGGGGCTTTCAGACCCAAGGCCTGTGGCTGGCTCAGGACCTGACCCTACACATAAAGACGTCAAGGAGCTCAGGGCGGTGCGGCTGGCGCATATGGCCTTCCGCTCTCACTTGGAGGGCAAGGTAGTCAGGGTCCTCAAAGACAACATGGCCTTGATGTTCTATATCAACAGGCAAGGCGGGGCCCACTCCTCTGCCTCGAAGCCCTCAGGCTGTGGGACTTCTGTATAGCTCACGACATCCACCTGAAGGCCTTCCACTTACCGGGCGCCCGCAACGAGAGGGCAGATCGCTTGAGCAGAGACTTCTCCTCGCAACACGAGTGGTTCCTCCACTTGGAAGAGGCCCACTGGCTCTTCCGAAGATGGGGAACTCCCCAGGTGGACCCATTCGCGACTCGGAAGAACCAGCGATGCTGGAGTTCTGGTCTGGGGGGGAGGGGCTGGGAAGGGGCGCTATCTCCGGTCTTGGTCAGGCCGGCTTCTCTACACCTTCCCCCCCTTCCCTCTAATCGACTTGATCTTCTCCAGGACCCTGCTGGACAAGGGCCAAGTCCTCCTGATTGCCCCGGCGTGGCCCAGACAGTATTGGTACGGGACCCTCACGGGCCAGGCGGTAGCTCCGCCGTGGCCATTGCCGCTCCGCCCGGACCTGCTCTCACATGACCAGGCCACCTCCTCCACCACAACCTAGCGGCTCTTCACCTTACGGCGTGGCTGCTCAATGGTTAGGTGGAGAGGAAAGGACGTGCTCAGAGCAAGTTCAGCGTGTCCTCCTTGAAAGTAGACGGCCCTCCACTTGCTGCACTTATTTGGCGAAGTGATCCCGGTTTTCTAGGTGGGCGACAGACCAGGGTGTCTTCCCGGTGACCGCCCCGATCCAGCTTATCCTTGATTACCTCCACCTGAGGGCCCAGGGCCTGGCGCCCTCATCCGTCAAGGTGCACCTGGCGGCCATATTGGCCTTCCATCCGCCGGTGCAAGGACACATGTTGTTTTCTCATGCTGTGATTGGCCAGTTCCTTAAGGGTCTAGACTGTCTTTCCCGTATTCTAGACCTCTGGTTCCACAGTGGGATCTAAACCTGGTGTTGGCTCGTCTCACGGGCCCCCGTTTGAAGCACTGGCCACATGCTCCTGGTCTCACCTCTCATGGAAGGTGGCCATCCTGGTTACTATCACATTGGCCAGGTGAGTCTCGGAGCTCAGGGCCTTGACCTCCGAACTGCCATACACGGTCTTTCATAAGGACAAGGTCCACCTCCGCCCACACCCCGAAGGTGGTCTCCGCCTACCACGTGAGTCAGGACATTTTTCTACCGGTCCTCTGCCCCAAGCCTCACGCATCCAGTGAGGAACGCCGCTTCCGCACGCTCGACATGCGGCTGGCTCTGGCTTTCTACCTTGAGTGGACTAAGCTGTTCAGAAAGTCCTCGCAACTGTTTGTCACCTCGGCTGAGTGCGCGAGGGGCCAGCCGATTTACACTATGCGGCTTTCCAATTGGATCACTTCGTGCATCCGTTCCTGTTATGAGCTGGCGGGCGTTCCCCCACTACCCATTGTGAGGGCACACTTGACCCGGGCACAGGCCTCTTTGGCTGCCTTCATGGCCCATGTCCCCATCCAGGACATTTGTAAGGCCGTCACGTGGTCGTCGGTTCACACGTTCACCTCGCACTATGCGATCGTCCCCCAGACCAGGGATGATGCCGGGTTCAGCAGGGCTGTCCTTCGTCCTGGGAACTTGTGAACTCCTACCCACCTCCAACAGATATAGCTTAGAATCACCTATTGTGGACTACACATGAGCAATCACTCGACGAAGAAAAAACAGTTACCTTTTCCGTGACCAGTGTTCTTTGAGATGTGTTGCTCATGTCTATTCCACATCCCACCCTCTTTCCCCTCTGTCGGAGTTGTCTGGCAAGAAGGAACTGAGGGTGGGGGGAGCACGCAGCTCCCCTTATACCGTGCCAGGCAGGCGCCACTCCAGGGGTTGTGGGGGGTGCTCCCCCCTACGGGTTCTGCTAGGGGAAAAACTTCCAGCACCGGTGCACGTGGCAAACACGCACACCTATTGTGGAATAGACATGAGCAACACATCTCAAAGAACACCAGTTACGGAAACGGTAACTGTTTTTTTCTGGAGCACCCTTAATGGCCTTCACTTCATATGTTTACATTAGTGATACAAATGTATATCTTATTCTCCTAACTCCAGATATAGAAATAACACATGCAAACTAATAGGATGAACACACTTAGTAAATTACAAGTTTTCTAATGACACCATATAAGGGGTATTTAGCATAAAGCATATACCAGTTATGTCATATTCATAAGCATATTTCCATAAAGCATATGGAGTGCAACATCACACATGGGTGTTCTCAGGCCATGTCCTGTATTCCCTGATATGGTAGTAGGGAAAGAGAGTGGAGTAAGAGTCCCTGTATTGTGTTGTCAGCACTGGAGGATCACCCTTACGCTGGGGTGATCTCTGTGGGTTGGTTAAGATGGTTTTAGGGAGAGATTACACTGCACTAGAATGTGGTGTAAAGCTACTGCACTGCACCTGAGAACTCTTCCCTCCCCCCAGCATTTTCACACAATGTTACACGTATGTTTCAATAAACTATTGTAAACTCTAATAGACAGCAATCCAGTGTGTGATTTAGGTAAAAAATACTAAAGATGCAAGTAGTTGCTATTTTAATATCCTTACAAGAAAAACATTCCAAAAGGACATGAGAACAGCAGGGCATGATTTACCAAGTCCCTGGACTCTACACTATACTTCGCACCCCTTAGCTCAGGGGCGGCCAACCTGAGCAGGAGCCAGAATTTACCAATGTACATTGCCAAAGAGCTACAGTAATATGCCAGCAGCCCCCCATCTGCTCCCCAGCGCCTCCTGCCTGCCAGCAGCCCCCACCAATCAGCACCTACTCTCCCCTCTCCCCGCAATCAGCTGTTTCACCTGTGCAGGAGCCTATTGGGGGGAGGAGCGAGGGTATGGCAGGCTCAGGGGAAGGGGCTTTGAGATAAAGGGTGTAGTGGGGGCAGGGCTTGGGCTTGAGCATCGGAAAGTTAGCATCTATAGCTCCAGCTCCGGAATCCAGGGTAAGGAGCCTCATATTAACCTCTGAAGAGCCGCATGCAGCTCAGGAGCCACAGGTTGGCCACCCCTGCCTTAGCTGATCACTGGCTTATGGGCCCATCTGAATTCCTTACTCATTGTTTTCCTTAGAATAGAATCATAGAATATGAGGGTTAGAAGGGACCTCAGGAGGTCATCTAGTCCAACCCCCTGCTCAAAGCAGGGCCAATCCCCAGACAGATTTTTTTACCCCAGTTCCCTAAATGGCCTCCTCAAGGATTGAACTCACAACCCTGGGTTTAGCAAGCCAATGCACAAACCACTGAGCTATCCCTCCCTCTTTTTAAAGAAGTTGCTAGACTACAACATCTACGGTAACAATTGGGGTAGATTCCTGAAATGTGTTTTTTGCAGCTTGCCTCTGCCTTTCCTCACTGACAGCCACTACTGTTGCCATCCTGGATTCAGAATGCATTCCTTCCCAAAATCTATATTTAAATTTAAATGAGCTGGATATGTCTCTCTTAAATTAACTTTTTTTTTCTTAAATAAAAGACTTAAAAAATCCAACTTTTCTTGTAGAGGGAATAAAGGGAAGTTTGATTTGCTAGACTCCTAGAAGAAAAGATGTTCTGCCTTGATACATTTGAGAGATTCAGAGTGCTACTATGCCTGAGTGAAAACTCTACATATGAAGGTATCTGCAGTCTTGGGTCATTTATTTTATATCTAAGATAGAAAATCTTTTGTTCCTTAATTCTGTTTGTCACAACCTGGCCTGGTGCAGTCTGGTACACTGTATGGTTGCCAGTCTGTTGTGGTCCCATGTACTTCTAAGCCCCCAAATGGGCCTAACTCACCAGAAATAAAATATAGGTGACCTCTACCTAGGGCACGTAACTGGCCATTTCACAACTTTTCTCCTGCAAAAGGCTAGCTGAAGGAGATAAGCCTTGCATGATGCCCTTAAGATGACAAAACTCAGGCTCCAGAGGTTGTAAATTCATGGAGGCAATAAATTCCACAACTGAGAGTACCTGTCCCCAATCTGGGGTCCATCAGCCTTATTGTCCCCTTGAAAACATCTGCTGCAACAGCATCAGTCATGGGTGTCTAATTGCATTTTCACATACCCTCACGTAACTAGGCTCTAGCCCCATGGTTCTTAACCTGGGGTGCAAGATGCCCTTTCTGGGGGTGCGAGACATGCCAATTTTTTTTAGAAGGTAAATCACTAAAAACACAAATTAAGCACAGGCACGTAAGTACAACTACTTTGTTTCACCAAACCTATGTATTTATTAACACTGTACATTTTGTAACGATTACTGTAATATACAAACTAAAAATATATCTAGGTTTAAAGAACTGAACTACTTCAACGCTTTTTGATAAGGGGCGCAAGAACATATTTTGAGAACCAAAGGGGTGCAAGCTGCAGTAAAGGTTAAGAACGACTGCTCTAGCCTATTTACGGCTTTGCAGACAAGAAGCAGGATCCTCAAATGGGTGGTTAGGCAACCAGAGTGGAGTGCAGAATAATATCAAGGGGTTGTTTTAAAAAGAAGGTGGGTGAGGTAATATCTTTTAGTGGCCCAACTTCCGTTGGTGAGAAAGACAAGCTTTTGGCTTGCACAGAGCTCACCAGTACTGAACTTTGCTTTATGCTAAATCAGATCAGGTGACCAGATAGCAAGAGTGACAAATCAGGACACTTTTTTTGGGGGGGGGGAGAAGGGGTATAGTTGCATGTATTAGACAACGCCCCTAATATCCGGCTGTGCGGTCACCCTACCTGATTCACACAAGAAACCCAGCCAGAGGCACCTGTTGTGACCCCCCCAGGAAGCACAGCTGTGCTGCTGCAGCCGCCGCAGGATGGCGTGTCAGACTGTGCAGCCGCAGACGCCGGTGCCCAGCAGACCCCATCCGCCTCCAGCGCAGATCACTGTCCTCCTTCCCGCCTCCCCAGCAGCGCTCAGCAATTGCTCCACGGCCTCCCCTGTGTGCTTCCCCACCCACGTGCCCGCCAAGCGAGCCCTCGCTGCAGCCGCAGCTCCTCCCGCTGCGGGTCACATGAGCGCCGGGCCCCCGCCCACGGCTGCCTTAGGCTAGGAGAGCGGCGGTGACTGGGCTGCTGTCTGCTGAGCCCGTGCCGACGCCGCTGCTGGGGAGCGGGCGGAGCGCGGGAGCCGCCGCTGTTGGTGTGAGTAGGGCAGGCGCGGCTGCTGGCCGAGAGCGGGGCGGAGCTGGGTTTCGTTTCCGAGCGGAGGCTGGTAGCTGCCCCTCCGAGTGGACGGGGCTAGCGGGGCACGTAGGGGCCCCAGCTGCGCTGTCCGGCCGGCGCGTCCTCGCTGCAGTCCCGGCGGGCGGGCTCCATGGCCCCGCGGGGGGGGTCATTTCATTCTCTGATCTGCCAGCGCCGGCACTTGGTTGCTGTCACCCTGAGGCGCTCCTGCCCCCGTGGGGAGGAGGCAGATGCACCGGGTAGCCTGGGTCTGGGGCTCAGCGCCAGCCGGGGATGGGGATGTTGGGGTTTGGAGACAGGGAATCCTCGTTCACAACCGTCTGGGTCCAAGGGAGCCGCCTTTGCTTTAGGGTGGCCTAGGACGGGAATCATTGACTCCCCTACTAAAGCTGGAGCTGCTGCCAACACTGCCGAGAACCAGGGGCCGCCGGTCAGATTTAGTAGTTCCCCTATCGACAAGCAATTACTGTCTTGAGTTAATGGTCTTTGAAGCGCCAAAAGGGATAATGAGTTTCTTGATATGTGTTCGAGTGGATGTTAATGCACCGCTGCCACACCACTACCACTTAATAGGGACGGACATATGCGGTGCCATGGGCTATATACTCTGGTATTCTCTCTTCAAATCCAGGCCTACCGTGGCAATTTTAGGTAGCTCTCCCCCTGTTGCAGTAGCAAGGGTGAGGGAAAACGTGGAAGTTGACTATTTGTATTCATACCACTAAGTTACGTGAGGGGGGGATTCCCTGAGCCAAGCTAGCCACAGGTCTAGGCTAGAACTCTCACCAGCAATATTAGTGCTAGCTAGTGCAATGGGTGGGAGATTTTAAGAAAATCTTAGTGCAGACCCAGCCTATATGGTTTGGGGCAAATGATACAATAATTGTACCAAAGTTGCAACAGGATTTGGTCTTGTGCCTGCAGGAAAATCAAACCATATTGTAACACAGTCAAGGCACTACTGTGTAGTAGTAGTAGTAGTATAGATCAGTGCGTAGTGGTTATTGCCAGACCTAGTTCCTGCAGAATGGGCCACTGGTTTGGGGTTTACTGGAGTGAAGGGATGATTTTTTAATTTTTAATGAAACATAGGTAAATGAATTAGATTTGAACTATTGCAGTATGTGCTCAAGGGTGTGATTGTTATATGTATACTGGGGACTTTTTCCATTTGAGATCCCACATTTGGTATAAAACTATTACTGATTCCCTTTCAGAATATGCCTTTCTTGCAAATTTGTTAGCTATCACAGGACTTGTTTCTCCAGTATAGTATAAAGTACTAATTGTAACAACAGAGAAATCATTTCTCCCTGTACTAGACTGTTAAGCAAAATTATATCACACAGAACACTGTTACTGTGATGTCATAGGTTTTCTTTCTTTGATAAACCGCTGCCATTGGCTATAAATAAGAAGTCATGTACTGCATTATGCCCAGCTTTATCAAATAAGGCTTTAATTCCACTGAGCTTTTCTAAAAACATTGTAAGTGGTGTATCCACGTCACTAGGGCACCAGATGGCATACAGCTTGACCCTTATTCTGCTCTCACATCCATCAGTGTAAATAGACTTGGAGCATAAATGAGATCAGAATCAGGCCCCTTAAAATATTATGATTGTTATTAATGTAGCATCTGGGAGCATAGAGTAGCATCTTATGGACCAGGGCCATTGTGCTAGGCACTGCACAAACTGAGAACAAAAAGACAGTTCCTGGCCCAAAGAGCTCATAATCTAATGTAAGAGACATCTGATGGATAGACAGATATATTCATAACTACTTATAACATAACTTTTTAACCCCCCCCCATTGAATTTTGCCTCCACCCACAACTTTCTGCTCTCTTCTTTCCCATCTTGATTTTTTTTAAATAGCCATGTTGGTTTTGACAAATTCATACAGTGTTGTTCACTTTTCTGTCATTTTCTTATAAACCCAGTACTGAACACCCAATATTAGTTTGTTTTAATATGGCATATAATATATCCACAACTGTTCATAAGACTGAAAATTCATTAAGAAATTCTGCCAGCATTTTAATAGATTTTGAATTTATATGCCTAAATAAATAATGCAGCTGTATTACTTGCATGTGTTTATACTACTTCTAGGCGAGTTCATGAGGAGAAGTCCAAAGTTCCAGATATGGCAGTTAATCGATAGCCACCACTGAAATTTTGCTTGTGTATTCTAAAACCCCCATTTTCTTCCTCTTTGGCGGCAACATGAATGCTAGAGTTAGAGATTAATGCTTCTTTATCGCCTGAAAGAAGAAGTTCCCACTTTCACATGATAAAGTTACAAGTATTACTTCCTAGATCTAGTTGTTTCGAGATTGTGATGGCTGAAATAATATCTTCTTTGAAGTGCATGTTTGAAAAAGATAGTCATTAGAATTGTGGTTTTTTTTTTTTTTTTTTTTTTTTAAGGTGCATTTTGCCCATAATTTGCTAAGGCCACCCCAGTGGAAAAATGTCATGTCTTTTTTGTCCTTGTGGTACATGAAATAGTATGCTTAAGTCTGATCCTCTATAAACTTTCTGGTTTCTTCTTGCTCCCTGATTTTGTGATGTGGCTGGGTAAATATTATCTTTACCTTCCACGGTCTCTCTCAGGGCTTGTCGACACTTGAAAGTTGTTTCAGATTGTTTTTGTGTATTAACTGATCAGGAACAATTGTTCCAAAAGCAGCTTGTCCTCTCTGCTTTATGCCAATTGAAGCTGCTTCCCTTTTGAATCATCTTGTCCACATGGTGCTGTTTTACTGAAATATGTGGACAGCATTCAGGACAGAAATCCCATGGTGCAATGTTCTGCCACTAGGCTCTATGCATTTGGGGATTTTTCTTGTGGCACATAATAGGATACCTACTAGAAACCACTGGAATTCTGGGACTTGAGGTCAAATGAAAAAATTCCCATGATTCCTCTCCTTTTATCCCATCATTCATCTGGCTTTTGCAAGCCAGCGCCATTGTCAAACTGCTATCAGGCTGCATGGGGGAGACATGACTGAATGCTGTGATCCTGATGGTAGTTAATATAAGCTGGCAGATGCACATGTATTGGCAGTCGTGCTTTGGGTAACTTGAGAGACCGCCATGGTGGTGCTGTAGCAATATGAGCACAGTAGGAGGCTGAAATTGAGCAGTGACCTCTCTACGAACTTTTTCAGGATTGGCTTCTCTCAGTGAGCTGCCACTTCTGGAATCAGGCGACCAGCACTTACTGGTGGAACAGGATAGTGCTGCAGACCTGGGAAGATCAGCAGTGGTAGCAGTACTTCAGGATGAGAGAGAGCTCGCTTTACTAGAAATCTGTGCAGAGCTCACCCCAGAGCTGTAGTAGTGGAACACCTACATGAGAGCTCCCTTCAGCATGGAAATGTATGTGGCTGTTGCTATCTGGAACCTTGCCATCATGATTGCTAGTGGTCTTTAGTTAACCAGTTTGGTATTGGTAGATCAGTTGTGGGGCTGTTGCCCTGGAGGTATATGCTGTTATCAAGAAGTACTGGCTCCTTTTTCTAACTTCTTTTCATGAAACGCCTCTTAATTCTATCCCTGATTACCTTAGTGTGGGACACCACAAACTCTTACATGTTTATCATATCTCTTTGTAATTTCTTGACATTTGGGGGAAAAGAAGGAAACATTTCTCTAGCTGGTTGATTTAAAAAAACAAAACACAACTTGTTAGAAGTTGCTCAGAGGTGTGGAATGTTTTAAGTAATCCTGGCCCAAATGGAGACGTTGGCAGAGGGCAGGTGACTAATTCAATGCGTCATGGCTCTGCAATATATCCTATTGATATCACTTCCACCACATATGTGGTCTGTAGCATGCACAGGCTCTTGGTTTTGGAATCAAGGAAAGGTGCTCCATTTGGATAATTTAAGATCAGATGATCTTTTTCCTAGTTAAATATTCTGCTAAAACCTATTTAATCACAGGAAAGTAACTCTTTAGCTTATTTTTTTTATACTAAAAGTACTTGGGCCCAGATCCTAAAAGGTATTTAGGCTCCTGACTTCCATTGAAACCAGTGGAAGTTAGGAGCCTAAATTCCTTTGATGATCTGCGCCTAGAGAAAACTGTAGCTATATCCTCCAGGAATTCCTGGCTCCAGTCAAAAATAAGTCTTGATCTTGAGTGTTAAATCCTGCTCATCTTACTCATTCACTCAGAAGGCCCTAAAGAAGCCAAAGGAGCTATGTGTAAGAATTTAGCCCCAAATCTGTCTGTCTAGGTAGTTTATATTGTCCATCCAGTCAATATAATATCTAAATTTTGCCCACTGTTTAAAAATAGAAACAATTAATCTCTCTCCCTCTCTTTTCCCAGCCTGTAAAAATAGCTTGGTTAATGTATATGGTTTTGAAACATGTATTTGTTTGTGTGGGTGAAGAATTTATTGAAGCAGAGCTATGTCAAGGAAATGAGTTTTGCATTTAGTTTTTGGAAGTAGGTAGGCCTGTGGCCACTCCTATCACTGAGTTAGATCTATAATTAGGTGCATATCTCTTATGAAAACCTTCCTCTGTTGGTCAACAGGATGAATGTTCCATTGAAATATAGTGTGGAGAGAGAAAGAGAGGAGGTCGCTTGGTAAGCTATGAACAGTCCTAATGGAGGGCTCTGAACACCAAGACAGGATCTTGAATAGGGTGACCAGATGTCCCGATCTTATAGGGACAGTCATGATTTTTGGGTCTTTTTCTTATATAGGCTCCTATTTACCCCCCACTCCCCACCTCCCTATCATGATTTTTCACACTTCCTGTCTGGTCACCCTAATCTTGAACCAAATTCTGTATTCAATGGGAAGTCATTGCAGAGAGTGGAACATCATTGCACTGACTTATTAACAGTGACTTGTGATGCTAAGGAAACTGGCTGCTGCTTTTTATATGAGCTGGAGCTTCTATCTTAGATATGAGATGAAGTAATCAA